ATGGCTAGTTGTACTCTCTAAATATATGTATGGTATGGCAGTATTGTCACATCGACTATGTCCAAGACTTTTTTTGCCAAATTATACTATTTTTAAAAAATCTATTAAAATAAGAAATCTTAGACTGTCCAGTACTGTATATAATAAATTTTTCTTAAAAAAAATTAAACTTAAAAAAATAATTTTAAAGGTAAATTTATTTGCTACAGGTGTGATATTATCACATCATAATACAGATTGGAAATTAAAAAATATTAGATGTTATGTGACAATGATCATGATAGAGTTTAATTATACAAAATATAAACAAATATTAAAAGGTCAATTATTAATTATTTTTTTCTTGTTAAAATACTCTTTATGTATTTATACACTTGTATAAAAAGCAAATGAAAGTAAATAAGGATCTTAAAAAAGAAAATTATTTGAATTATATAGCAAGAACTTTATAACTGTAAGTAAATAAAGTTGCATTTATTTTGTGACTATTTTGTATATATTTTGCAAACTTTCTTCTATTTGTATATTCATTTTCTAGACAACAAACTATAGCAGAAGTTAAAGATAAATCTATACTGCAAAATAAAGATTGTTTGATATATTGGTAGTAGATGAATTTAAAGAAGGCATTGGTGTTGAAGTTGAACTTGTGAAAAGAACAGCTGTTAAATTTGTAAAAGGTGAATGTGTTAAAATTGAACTTGTAGAAGATGATGTTATAGAATGCAAATGTGTTGAAGATGAAGCAGTGAAAGGCAAATATGTTGAAGTTGAACTTGTAGAAGGCAATGCTGTAAAATGCGAATTGTTGAAGTCAAATTTATTCAAGCTGAAGTTGTATAAGGTGACCATGTTAAAGTCAAACTCGTAGAAGATAAAGCTATAGAATACAAACTCTGAAAGATAAAGCTATAGAAATTAATTAAGATTAGTTTGATCAGTGAGTACAATAATTTAGTCAATACATAATACTTAGTTTTGTTTATTTTAAAGCACTATAAATCATGAAAGTGACAGTGAAATTAATGCATTTGTTCTTGGATTGGAGTTGGAATGTCAAGATCTTATAAAACATCCTATAAATTAACCTATAGAGCTATTTGTTGAAATGCAGTTTAATTTTTTTTTTTTTGGTTTTAAGGTGACCTCTTGGTTGCTATTCTTTTATTTTGTTATTGTTAACTTTTACAGTATAATATACACCATACCACAGTGTTGGCACAGGACAGCTTTAGACACTTTATAGACAATTGTGAACAATTTTAAATAAAAAAACAAATCTAATTTACTCAAAATTTTATTAAAATAACCTATTTTAATCTTTTAACCAAAAATATTCAGAACTACAAAAAATATATAATTATATCTTTTTTAAACTAATTTATTAAATTTTAAAGTCTAAATATTTTTTAGACAGTTGTGGACACTGTGGATATTTGGACGTGAATATGAGCAAAAAAAGTCTTGGACATAGTCGATGTGACAATACTGCCATACCATACATATATTTAGAGAGTACAACTAGCCAT